CATGTAATTTACATGAATACTTACCAAGATGGAGATTTTGATATTTTGTGTGCAGGATTTAAGAAATGATCTGTTCATGTTATGGAGGAAAGCACAGTGCATGTAGGGTGTGTGGCCTCAATAGCCCTGCAGTAAGTAGTGTGCTGTGTGTGCATGTGATTGAGCAGTGTGTAGGGTAGAAATTAAACTGAAATTGCATTAAATCAGGTTGTTTTAACCAAGATTATGCTGCAAGATTTTTTCTCAACTACATTTAAGTCCCCAGTTCCTGCAATTTTGCAGAATTCCAGTTTATTCCCATTAATTCCCGTTAATTCCCATGGAAAGTTTCCAGTCGTGAAAATTCCCGTAATTTTGCTACCCTATTCAGTAGTCAGTATGGATAAAACAGCTTCACTGTGCTTCCAACACGCACATCCCCCTTTAAACTAATGTCCGGAATGATTTAAGCATCAGCAAATGCTTTATAGATGATCACTTGCAAGCTAGATGCTCACCCAGCTGTCCAGGCAGTGTATTAGATTTCCTCCTGTTTGAATACGCTTCATTCTCTCTGCATGTTCGGTGCAGCAGGCATAAACAACCACAACAAGGACAATTGTTTGCAAGCCAGAGAGGTTTAACTTATGCCAGAATCTTTCCCAGAGCTAAAGATATTTGCAGAAGAGAGCTGTCACAGTGCAAAAGTGCAGACCAGCCCAGGCGATAAATCGTCAGGGTTTTTGATGTAGCTTCCTGTCGGCCTGAGCAGTCTTTTAGGTTTAGTGTGGCTTACAGATACTGCTGACACCGTTAAACAGGCAGGGTTGATGACACTCTACTGCTGCAATAAAGTTCTCACCACTAATGTCACTTACAATCTTTTGACCCTAAAGTTTAGTCCTGTTTCTAGTTATAGGCTTTTTTTTATCGGAATGGAACACAGTGCTGTTTAATAGAGCCCGACCGAAATGGGTTTTTTGGGGCCGATACCGATATTAGGGAGTAAAAAAAGGCCGATATCGATATATTGGTCGATATTCTTTGTGTATATTATATTATAGTACAGTACCAGTCAAAAGTTTGGACACTTTCCCATTCGAGGGTCCAAACATTTGACTGGTACTATATATAGAATACAGTATATACATAAACAGAATATATATACAGGTGCATCTCAATAAATTAGAATGTCGTGGAAAAGTTCATTTATTTC